CTCCCATGCAAAGATGAGGCCTGCACAGAGACTCTCCGAGCGCACCATCTTGATCTAGGACAGAGTGAAGCTTCTAGGTGTCCTTGATATCACCTGAGATGCACCTGGATGTGAGTGACCTCCCCTGTACGGGAGTGTGTGAGGCCAACACACGGCCACAGCTGCTGAACAGATGGTGCCACCTGCCCACCGTCTGGCGTCACTTAAGAACACGAAAGTGCGAGGTGGCAAAGCCACGTCTTGAGAACGCCACACGGCAGCCTGGGGGGCGTGGTCAGGAGGGCAGGGGCTCAGCAGCAGCCTCCCCAGGAAGGATGTTCTGCTGTGCACTTAAACAAGAACTCTCGTCACAGCAGCGGCGGCTCTGTGGACGCCTCTCCTTTCCCTCATTCTGGGGTTCTGGAGAGAAAGTGGCTTCAGCAGACACCAGTTAAGCTCACTGATGACTCCTTTAAAGGGATGGATTGGTAGGAAGTCATGTAGACATCACACGACACACTGACTAGGCTCAGACAAGATGGAGTCATTGAGACAAGAGGACACCGTCATGAGCTGGTATCTATGTATACAACTGGGCAACCACCTCCTTCAAGATGCAGAACAATCCAGCAACATGAAGGTTCCCTGGCCTATAAGTTAGTTAGCATGCCCCGAACTCTGGCCCTTCTGGGACTCCAGTGAAGTGACTCTGGTCATGCACATCCTTGTGGCTCACTCTTCTGTTCCGTGTGTTTGTGGATTTCGTCTTGCTGCCACATGCCTCCATAGCTTGTGACTTTGTGTTTACTGCTGCTAGCTTTTACTGCACAGCATGAATAAACCAAGTAATTTCTACCCATTCTACTCTTGATACATATTTAGTCTATTCCCCAATATAAGTTTGAAAAATTAATATAAAAAGCTGTTATGAACATTCCTCAACACTTTGACTTGTATATTCCTGGTTATTTATTTATTTTTAATGTGGAAATAGAGACTTCAAAAACCTAGTACTCAGGAGGTTTGTAATTTCCCCGATGCTCAGTATTACACATGCACACATTTCCAAGAAAAAGGCAAAAGAAGAGAAACGTGAAAGAGTGGCCAGTTAGCTGTCTTGCACTTCCTTCATTTTCCTTCTCTAGGTGCCTCTGCCTTCAAGAAATCCCACGTGGAAATCAGCTCATTTCCCCCTTGCAAGGCTATCTTTTGTAGCAAAATTCTGAAGCAGAATATAAGAAACCAACTTATACTAAATTGATTAGTAGCCCCAACACGTATGCTTGGAAGATGGGCACACCCAGCTCACCCACACAGAACATCCGTCCCTGGCCAAGGGTCTTCGAGACAAGCTTTCATCAATATCTTAACTTGTGATGCTGAAGACTGGCACTAGAGAAATACATTAGGAAATGGTTTCTGACTTCAACAAAAGGAAGGATCCCAATGTTTTTAACAGACTTGGAAAAGCAATTGAAGTCTATGAGGCAACTGAATAACTCAAAGCAGTCTTGGTGAGGCTCTGAAGCACAATTATACTCTCATCTTCATAGAAGAGGATTTTTTAACCTGCCAATCACAGCATTTCATTTTCCTCCTAGAGGTGTATATCACAGGGATCTCAAATAGCATATTTCTTACAAAGGTTTCCTCACCAGCTCATGGAGCACTTTCAATGAGCCCTGCCCTCCTCTGCCTGCATTTATGTTTATCTGTTGTCACTTGTGGTCCTAAAAACTTTAGCTTTCCATTACCACCAGAACCATTTCCATGTTTCCTGAAAGCTTTATTGACAATGGCATGTTTAAGAGGTAAAAGGCAGATTTCCATTGTGTAGATTTACAATAAAACAAGGTTCACAAAAGCTCCTCAGACCCCTCTGGGAATCCCTGGAGTGCACAGCTCAAACAACACTTTCCCATGGGGAACGTGTTGGAGGGGTCAGTAGAAGGAACCCCTGCCACCTGGTGTTAAAGGATCCCAGCATCAAATCACTCCCTTGTGGCTCCCTTCCTGACAACAGAGGTAGCTATAGATTTGCGGGCTGTTCATACCTTACCAGGCACATCCCTCCAACAGCCTCCCTGGTAGGGCTGACAGCAGACTTGGGGAATCTGAGGTCAGAAGGGAATCAAAAAGAACGTGGTGGGCAGAGTTTGGAACCACAGATTGGGGACTCCCTTCCTGGGAAGATCTGGATCATGAAGTTGTAACCCCAAAACTGCTGAGAGTAAGATGGGAAAGGAGGACATTTTAGAATAGTCTTCTTCTGTAATGTCACCCCAAACATCCACATAGAAATAAAACATTTCACATAAAGCCCTTAACGAAGAACAGACATTATATAAAGCCAGGTGTAGGCTAAAGGCAGTTTAATGACAAGAATGCAATGATGGCCTGGCCCCAGGCACAGGATCTATAAGTCCTGCACAAGTGTGAGCACACTGAGTGTTTGGGAGGTGGGAGGTGCAGCATGAAGAATTCCCACTTGTCTTTCCAATTCACTCTCCAAAGTCTCACTGCTCTCCAGTTCATCATTACTCTGTTCTTCCCTCCGAAATATTCAGACTAATAAATGCGGCTAATTTCAAGTATGTTCTGGGAGAAAACTTAGGAGGTAAGGAAATCTGCAGCCTCTGGAGGCTTAGACCAGGCAGCAAGACCTTCCAGGTATCAGGGAGGACCTAGGGCCTGCTGTTCTGAGCTCAAAGGATCCAATATTCTGGTGGTTTGGAGGGGGAGGCATTTGGGAGAAGGGAGTGTGATTTATTGTGAATCCTACTAGATAGATCTCCTCTTGCCAAGAGAACTCGCCCCAGATGCAGCATGTGCCCAGTGGCGTCTGCAGGTGTGTATGTGTGGGGCATGTGTATGTGTGTGTGGGGGGGTGTCTAATTAGGTGCCTGTTTTGGACTTTTCCTAAATGTCAGCATGTAACAGAACCCGGCCAGCACTTCCACTGTGACCTCAGGCTACTAGACAGCTGTTCTGCCTTCCTATCTACATTCGGAGGGAACCCCGGGTTGACCCAGCACAGAAACGTGACTCTGACCCCTAGTATCCACAAAGCATAGTGAGAAGGTGAGAGAGGCCAGTTGCCTAGCCCCTGCCCAAATCTGTGCCTGTGGCTTTCAAAGCCCAGCTGGGCTGCGCCCTCTGGCATAGCCTGAAGCCAATGCGCAGGGTCCCCAGAGACCACTCATGAGAGAAGATATGGAGTCCCCTAACCGCCAGCTGCTCCAGAGACGTCTCCGGGGTAGACTCAACAAGTTCCTGGGCCGTGCAGCGCCGCCTGCAGCCCAAAAACCCCGAGGACTCGCCACCGTGGAGCCCCGCGCGCAGGCGGCAGCAGCCGGCGGCTCCTCCAACCTCCTCCTCCTGAAGC